CATCTGAGTAATTAGTTTTAAAATTAAATTTTATTCGATCTGTTATATTATGTAGTATTTTGATGAATTCAAGTGTGCTACTTACACGAAAGCAAAATTGGAAGAAATTAAAGAAGAATGGTGTCAATTTATTCTTGGGTTGAGAATTGTATAGAGTTATCGGATTGGAAGAATTGTAATTATATGTAAATTGAATGTATTTGTGTTGTTGTAATTCTGAGGATCGAATTTTGTTGTAACATATTTAAACAGGTTTATGTGTATATTAAAATTTTTATGAACAAAGTGATGAGTTACAATGTATCCAAAGTTTTGAATTGTATATATAAGGCCAAAGTTTTGAATTGTATATTTAAGGCCAAAGTTTTTAATTGTATATATAAGGCCGAAGTGTTGAAATAAAGGCCTGAGTTATAAGCAGGCTTGTGTAATATAAGCAGGTTGTTGGTAAATATACAAAACAGGGTGAACATTTTTATAAAAAAAAAATTTAAAATCTGGGACATTAGACAGCGCTTTTACAAAAAAGCGCTGCTAAAGGTCACAAACATTACGCTACAAAAGCGCTGCTATAGGTTTGGAAGGGGGGGGGGGGGGGTCAAAGACAGCGCTTGTAAAAAGCCCTGCTAAAGGGGGGGCTATGGCAGCGCTTTGTAAAAGCGTTGCTAAAGGAGGGGTCTAAGACAGCGCTTTGTGAAAGCGCTGCTAAAGGGGGGGGATGGTTGGGGGAAATATGCAGCGCTGCTGAAGGGAGCCTTTAGCAGCGCTTTTTCCATGAAAAAAAGCGCTGCCTTTACCTTTAGCAGCGCCACTTTTGGCAGCACTTTAAAGTGCTGCTAAAGGTCTTTTTTGGCATAATGATGGTAACTATCTTGATCAAAGTTATGATGAGAAAAATAATGAGGAAATTATTATGAGGGGTTCTAGCAATCATAGTAATAATGCCTCCCAAGAAGAAGAACTGACTCTTCCAAAAGTGGAATTTAATCATCAAGACATTATGCATGGTAACTATCTTGATCAAGTTAATGATGAGAAAAATATCAACAACTTGAAACAACTTTCAACGTTGGTTGATGATTCAAATATGCTATACAATAATGAGGAAAGTGCTACATTGGATGATAGGTGAGTAGATAATTTCATTCAAATTTCATAATAACTTTATAATTATATTAACATATTTCATCACTTACATTATAACAGGTTTCCTACACTCGCGAAATGTTCATTCTTTCAAGATATGGAAATTACAGCTCCATTATTGTCGTCATGTATCCCAACGTAGTGAACCTGAGAATATCTAGCTTAACTCTGATATAAACTTCGAAGCCAACTTCAACAATATTGAAATCAAACAAATCATGACAAGTAGAAATTGCTAAACAAATTATGCTTTACCTAATTATTGACTTTCGTTGTGGCACCGGTGCATGATTCCCACTTGACAATGGTGGTGTTAGCTCAGTAGGCTTTATAAAAAGTGTAAGCAAAAAGAGAAAGAGAAAGAAAAAACACAAGTCGGAAAAATTTCTTCTTGTTATTCCGTGGTTGAAATAAAAACAAAAACCTGTAAGATATAGTATGATATACTATCATACTATTGTTGCAAAATGGTTGAAAATATTCCAAATGTAAGATATATTAAGATGTTAACCTCAAGCTCCTCCAAGCTCTCATTGGAGTGTATATGAGTTGAACTACTATTTTCCTTTTGAGAAGAAACTGGTTCTGCTGCCACTATGGACTCTGAGTATGCAGAGTTTAAATTGACGTTTTTCATGTTTCGGCCAAAATCTGACTTTATTTCTGTACTCAAGATCATTTTCAAGCTCATCAGGCTCTTCTGAAAAGGCTTGATGTGCATCATATGGACCACGCATAATATTTTTGATACCGAGCTTTTCTGTTTTTGTAGAACTACATGTATTAGTAGCAGTAAGTAGAGGGTTAACTTCTGAGATGCTTTTCTCCTTAACGGTGTCTCTATTCCAAGAAGGGTACTCCCCTGAAAAGGGCTTGGAATTTCTCAACGCATCCACACTATCTTCTGCTTGCTTTCTCTTCCTATCATCGTTAACTCCTAACACGACCACTTTATCTTCTTGGCCACTTTATCTTCTTGAGATTTTTCTGCTTGACCATGGCCGGAAATCCTAAGCTCTGAACTTGACTTACTCACCCTGGTTACCTTGGATAGGAAGTTAGGTCGAACACCACCGGGACTCACCCTGGTTACCTTGGATGGGAAGTTAGGCCGAACACCACCGGGAAATACAAAGACAGGTATATCACGGTGTTTCACATGGGTTACAAATATATCCATTCTAGGGGTGAACATCGGTTCGAGCCGGTTCAGATTCGGGCCCAAAACTCCAATCCGGCCCAACCCTCGGGTGACATACAAAGGCCCATTACCGACCAATTTAATCATCGGTTTTTTTAGGTTCGGGTTGAAACGGATTCGGGTAATTGAACCAGTTTATTTCGGATTTTATTTGTAATTGGGCCAATACAAAATCCAGCCCAAATTGCAAATCCAATATATTTGTTTTTTTTTTCTTTTTTAACTTGTTATTAAAGACTAGTAATTGGGCCACTAAAAATGCACGCCCAATTACAACCTAATATAAATTTTATTTTAATTTTAAAAATGACAATTAACTATTAACTATTTGAATTAAACAAAAAATACTAATTATTTACACAAAGGGACTGAACTTACAAATTTATAAATTTATAAAGTAACATGACAGCAATATTATTTTAAAATCTATAATATTATTACAACTTATAAAAACCATTCAAAAATAGAATCAGTGAGATATTAAATGTGTTATTTCATACTTCCTCCAACTCATTCATCTAAGTAACGGGTGGATTATGACTATAAAGATATGAAAGGCCCTCCAAAATCTGTCTAAACCATTTCTTCAAAGCTCTCAAATCAACATGCTTATGTTTCTTCCGATGTCTACACAATTATCTTCATCTACTAAGATAGATTAACATTTTATCAATTGAGCATAAAAATTCATAAACAAAATAATAAGGATACACTTTCTTAAAAAAACCCTTCTCTAGAATCTTAGTACCATCAAAAAGTAAGAGTTACATAACAAAAAATATAGATCTAAAACTTTAAACCTATAACTCACTTATAAGCAACAAAAGATAAAACTTTGACTTGTAATCTCTAAAAACTCCAGTATCTTTCAAGCTGCAAGATCAAAACATAACATTATTAAATACAAAAACTTTATACTTCGTAAGATTCAAACTTTATACTTAAGTTCAGTTTGAACTTTGGACTCTGAGAGAAAACAACAAAACAATGGACATGATAGTACACATACCAAGGTAAAATTTCCTTGCTTTTCAGATTTCATTTTCCTGTCACGTTTAGTTTCATTAACTTCAAACATAAACTTAAGATAAAGATATAAGAATATAGCATTAAAGGACAATTAAGAAAAGAACTGTAGCTTACCACACAAACATCAAAATTCTCAAATCAGTATGATCCACCTCCATATCAACACAAAATGCTTCAAGTCCTTCAAGGCTATGTATCAACCATGTTCAAAATCTATCTAAAAAATTACAATTCCAATTAAACAATTTTTAACAGACATTATGAAATTGCATTAATCAGCATGTAATTCCTTCAATAAGAAGTTGCAACACAAAATTTATATCAAAATAGGTCTTAAATGCCCTCATTTATTAAAAGAAACTGTCATATATGGAATTGAAAGATGAAAGGGCTAATTGATCATGGTGTTTATCCAAAATACATACATTTGAAAGGTTGATTGACCTTAGTAGACAGAACATCATACATAAACAGCAATGACAAATCACCGTGACCAAGTTGGGTTAGTATCGGAGTTAAAATAATTTTACCTGCATTGACACAACTAGTTCAGCATTGGCATCAGGTGCAGGTACAACCCGAGATTCTCTTACACCTCTTCTCTCAGGATCATGTCTCTGGCCTTTGCTTCCTGTTGCCCCTTGTCTAAAATGAAACAGGTTATGAACTTCCACACACAAATTGGAATGATTTTAAAAGAAAAACTTGAAGTTAACAGAAATTATCAAGCCTCAAGGCAAGGAGCTAACAAAAGTGAATTCACAAATAGCTTAACAGAATCATGAATCTATGTAGGATACTTCTCAGACCAGAACTTAATCAACATGCTATGAGTTTGCTCAATATTGCACTTTGAAAGGCCAATAATCAAACCCTTACAATGACAGATACAAAGAGACAAATGTAAAACAAAAATTGCTTCATGATGCAAGTAGTGAGATATGAAGGCTGGACAGCCCCATCTCAAACATAGAAACAACAGTATGTTCTTGGTGTTTTTCATCCACATCCAATGATGAATTCCAAATATAATTCTAACAGCAACTTATAAAAAGTCTTTTGATATGAAAACAAGATTAAAGGGGTATTGGTTGAAAACAGAAACAACAACATGTTCTTGATATAGCAGGTTAAGCATTAAGGCAACTATGGCAAAAAAAACTGGAATTTTCCATCTGTTAGTGAATTCCAACAGGTTTTGGCAATGATAAATAGGTTTTGACAGCATCGAAAACTTGGATAGCTAAAATAGTAGAGAGCCAAATGTTATTCACCAAGTCATTGACATTTGGAACTAGGTTTTACCATGAGTTCGCTAGACACATATGATCAAGCTAAACTAATGGACAGCCAGAAATCATGAGATCAACCTATATGAATCCTGCAGTCCTGATAAGGAGCCAAGTTGATGACCCTCCCAACAAGATTGTGGACAACATCAAAACACTATGTCCACCAATTGAAACCAAATTGTCCTAAATCCTAACAGATTTATAGTAGTAGCCCCCTCCATATTACATCAAAGCAAAACAACAGATAAAACTTACCAGCCTCCACTAGCCTATATGGTTAGTCCAAAACTTTAATCACAAATGCAAGTTCATAAACTTTAAGATAATGTAGATCAAACATTCCCTTTTTTGAGACTATGAACATGGTAATAATTAAGAGACAGAGTCGTGGAGGTCACGTGACCGGGACGAGTACTGCCTAATTCGATTCCGGCAGCTTTCTTCAGGTACCACGAGATGGACGGAGATTTCGCTATGAACTCAAACGTGTTGTCTTTGTAAGCTGTTATTGTAACAGCCATTGGTGTGTCGGGCTTGAATTTCTGAGTTCGGGCATTGAAGTCTTTGCAGAACGCCATTAGGTTTAGACGGTATTGACCTAGCACGGGTCCCACTGGTGGCGCTGGACGTGCGCCGCCGGCTGGAACTCTCAATCGGATTGTCGCCGCTACCGCTTTCGGAATGCTCATCGTCGGTGAGTGGGAGTGGTGGTGGTGATGGGATTTGAGATTGATGGTGGCAGCTACGAAATCAGTCAGGGTTTTACATTGGGCCGAGTCATTCAATTGCACACAAAAATTAAGAACTTTTTTTTTAAAGAAGACATTCAAAATATATTTTTAAGAAATCTTTAATACAATAATTTAACAAAATTAAAGGCCATCTAAATATGATTTTTAAAATATTTTTGAAAGAGCATTTGTTCACCAATTGTAATGTAATTTTATAAATCAACTTATTTTAAGAATGTTCAATGTCTAATTTTTAAGACTAACATAGTCCAATTGATTCTCGTAAGGGATTAAATATAAACTTTTTTCTCAGAGATTTATTTAAACTTTGCCATTTTGTGAGACACCAAAATAGATGCTAATTTAATTCCTTAAAATTTAAAAACGTAAGTTTTGATATTTTTTCATGAATATTTAACAAATTTTGATTTTATTTTAAAAAATTTATATTAAAATTAGTATACAAGTTCAGTCACAGTTCAAAAAAATTAATTAATTAATAAATGTTAACAGAGACTAATATAATACTTAAGTTTTAAAATAGATTATATATAATCGTTTTTTTTTCGATGATTAATCTGAACTCTATACTTTTCGTAAAAGACCATAATGACTCGTCGTTTTTTATATATATAACTGATCTGACCTGATCAGAAGGGGATCACGGGCCGGCCACACGCTGTTGGGCTGCTACCTGTTCACCGGTGATGAGGAGGAGGAGGGGGGTGCACCTGCAAGACACTCCGATGCAAAAGTAAGAAATTGGGCAGAGTGAGAGCAAAGTACAGAATTGGGGTAAGAAGTGAATTACCTGACCCTCTTGAGGAAGAGGGTATTTATAGAGAGACCCCAGCGCTGGGCCAACGGTCACTTGCGTTGGGCTGGATTGCCAGGACCAACCCAGGTGACTGCTAGGGCTTACGTGGCGTAGTGAAGACCAGGGCGTGGTCTTCGCCCTAGTCCAACTGCTCCTTAATCTCCGGAAAGTGGGTTTGACCTGCTCTTTCGGAGGTGGGCAGTTGGTTGATGACGTGTCCCCGCGGAGGGGAGCACGTGGAGAACGTGCACCGGGCATGTTGTTCTCCCCGCGGAGGGGAGCTCGGGAGGTTCCCCGGAGACAGGTTGTTCTCCCTGCGGAGGGGAGCACGCGAGGACGTGGAAGAACCAAGGTCTTGCTCGACGGACCGGGGGTGCCCTGTTCGGCCGACAAAGGGGATGTTGAGACGCTACAGGACGTGTCGTCCATCCCAGCGGGGAGCGTGCCCTGCCCGTCCTATGGGGGTGTGTGTGCCCGGTCGGGCTAGTCCACTTAATGGGCCTTGTGCGTTATTGGGCTGGACCGCGAGGCTGGGCCCAGACCAGAACAATAACTATTATAGAATATATAAGCTCTTACTTGTTAGTTAAGGAGATAGATAATTATTTAGATAATAGTTCGTAATTTGATAGTAATAAGATTTTTTTTGTATTGGAAGGTAGATCGGTCTTAAAAGTGTTATCATTATTTCTTTTTAAAAACAATAATTTCTCATTTTTAGTTATAATATATTAGTTGGTTTAATCAATTGGTATGAGAGTAATTCTCATATTTTTTTCTATTTTTGGTGCTTTCTTGATCCTTTTGTCCTGTGTATAATAAATAGACAGTTAAATGGTACTTGAATGTTGTTCATCATGTTGTTCATCATGTTGTTGTTGTTGTTGCTATTGTTGTTATTATTGTTGTTGTTGTTGTTATTATTATTGTTGTTGTTGTTATTATTGTTGTTGTTGTTGCTGTTGTTATTATTTTTGTTGTTATTGTTGTTGTTGTTGTTGTTTTTCTTGTTCTTGTTCTTGTTCTTATTCTTGTTCTTGTTCTTGTTATTGTTCTTCTTGTTGTTGTTGTATTAAAAATATTTAATATTGTATATTGTGATGAAACTTTACATTGTAGTTAGGCAAAACATATAGAAAAAATGAAAAATTGGGCTGACATACAACCATAATTGTTTATTACAACCATCATAATATGTAGCGTGTGTTTTCAATTCATCACCACGACCAATATACAGTTGTTGTAAATAGCCTACTTACAACCATACGCTGCATCACCACGGTTGCTGAACCATGATTATAGAGCTTTCACAACCATGACTATAGGTGTTTTATGTAGTAGTGTTTTCATAAGGGACTTAAATCGATAGCTTCTTAGTTTCACAGATGATGACTGATCATGGTGCAGGGATACTAGAAGATCAAACTTAAGATATTACTTCTTTGCTAGTTCATCCTTGATTTCTTAGAGAGCTAAGAAATAATAAATAGTCTATAAAGATCTTCTGAAGTTGAGTATCTAGCTTTGTATTTGGTTAGTTATGAGCTATAACGGCTTCTTTATTTAATGCAAGACTTAGGATTAATGTAGGAAACCCCTCGTCTTTTATTGTGACAATCAAAGTGTAATACACATTGCTGCAAATACAATTTTTCATGAAAGTACAAAACAGTTGGAAATTGATTGCCACTTTGTAAGATAGAAGATATTACAAGGCTTGTACGAATTGTTTTTTGTCAAGTCTTAGGCCAAACATGATGATTTGTTTACCAAGATTTTTCCACCTACGAACTTTAACTCCTTTAAATCGAAGTTTAACATAAGTGACATATACCATGCCAAGCTTGAGGGAGAGTGTTAAAGTACCTAGTGTTAGCTAGCTTGCATTGCAAGTTAACTGTTATCTTCATCATACAATTCATATTTTCTAATGGTACACCATATATAGAGGAACACTACAAACTACAGAACTAGTTAAAGTTATAGTTAGTTAGTTGACGTTTGTTAGAGAAACTAACATATATAAATACATCATGTAACTAATTTTCTTCAAACAATGAGATAACTTCATTTGATCCCATTTTCTCTAGTTTTATGTTTTTCTCTTTGATTTCATTGTGGTAATGAGAAACCTCACGAGTAATCACTACAAGAAAAAGTTCTCCAGCGGTGTGATATTGCCACGTGAAAATTACGTCACAAACCATTTAAAATATAAAAAAAATGAAAATGAATTTTTCACGTTGGGGGATTTTGAGATTTGTGAAATATATGTAGTGATATGAAAATACTTCTGTTGCGGTGATAATAGGATATCAAATTATTAATTAATTTGAATCACAAATTTATGATTCACAAACGATCTTTAATTTATCCAAAGGAAAGGTCAAAGGAAGGAAAAACCTAATTTTGCCTCGTAAACACAATGCGCGGAGAGATATAGGGTTTGGGGGTTGGTTAAGCTTAGGGAAGGTATTAGCACCCTAAACTTCTGTTGTACTCTACAGGAACCTCTTGTTTTAATATTGTTGTTTTGCTAAATTATTTGCTTAAGGGTATATGCTGAGGGTTAGAAGGTGAAAAGAAAGACCTAAGGGTTAGTCCTAAGTTTACTCGTCAAGATTCGCATCTTGTGCCTACGTATCCGAGGTAGGGGATGGAATAAGAGTAATCGTAGTTTCCCTCGAAAGGGAGGAAGAGAAACTTCTTGACGGTGGTCAAGGTTTCAATGGGGATGCAAACATTCTTAAGGAAGCGCTTACATGGAGTGCGGTGACTCCTATTTCTACGTTGTAATTGAATTGAATTTAAAATGGGTAAAATAGGTATTCCACGGCGGGAAACCTAATATGGAGTGCGGCGACTCCTTATCCTAATGCTAGGGTAAAGGGTAAACTTGTCCACGGCGGGACGCCTATGCAATTAGGGTTTGAACGGTGAAAGAGTCAAGGGTAAGGACTATTGACGCGACGGTCAAACGGCTAGACCTATCCTTCGGAGGAGAAGTTAACGGTAAATAACTATAATGAAAGAGTATCGAGCAAGCAACGGTGTTGAAATGTGGAAAACATGCAAGAAGAATAACGGAATAAAATGCGAAGATGTCCTCGCATAAAGTTACAACCATGAAAAATGAAAGATTAGTAACCAAGTACAAATAAGAAAGCAATGTTAAGAAAGACATGAAAATTAGGCGAAAATTCAATCGGGGCTATTAGGATTTTTTTAGATTAGAAATTAGAATGAAATATTAGAAATTTAGGTTATACATCTTTTTAAGAAAAAAGTTTTAAAATTAATCTTAATTTTAATGTCTTTAAAAAATGTTTGTAATTAGTTAAAGACTTTAGTGTTAATTTATTTAAAAATGAATTTTATTTTTTTTAAAGAAAAACTAATCTTGGTTTATTTTTAAAAGGTTTTAGTTTTAAAAAGTTATTTTTTTAATTATAAATGTTAAGTTTAATTTATTTTTAGAGGTTAGGATTTAATCTTACAAAATTGGAATTTTAGTTAGAAAAAAAAAGTTGTATCAATACATTAATATTTAAATTAAAGAATTATTAGATTTATCACAAAACTTAATTTTAAAACTTAGAAATAAAATTAAGGCTTTAAAAATGGTTTTAATTATAAGCTTTTAAAAAATTGGTAATTACAAAACTAAGATGAAGTTTTAGAAAATGTTTTTAAGATTAAGTTTTAATTTAAGTTTTTAAGATTAAGTTTTAGAAAATTAAGTGTTAAAAAACGGTTTAATTATAAAATTAAGATTAAGTTTTAATTATTTAAACAGTATTTTACATTAAATAATTAAACTAATGAAAATCTGAAAATTATAATAAAAAAATTAAAGAAAAATAAAAATATAAAGGAAAGGGTCTTGCTAAGGAGTCTTGGTAGGGTTTGGAGACCCATTTCCTCTTCTTCTAGCGACGCAACTCCATCTTCATCTTCTCCATTCTGAACTTTTCTTCTTCTTAGCCATGGTCATGCTTTTCTTCTTCTGAGCTTTCCGATGATTTCTGCAAAACAAATTAAAACTAACCCGTTAGCACATATTGCTCACCCTCTTTTAAGGGTTTGAAGCGCTTTGGAGTTGACGATGAAGTTTGCTGATGGACGATGATGATGGTGAGGA